GGCCAGAGAAATGAAACTGTTTGATGTTAAAATGATAAATGTTTGTTCTATGTGACTGCAAACAGAATGTTTTTGCACATGTGAGATTTTTGCCATGAACAAAACTTGTGAATTTTCTCATTCCAGCTGTTGCAAAAGACAATCTCCTCTCTCCTGATGTCCTCTGCCAGTGAGGATGGGGTAGGTATAATGAATGCTCACCAAAGGATGTTAAACTACAGAACTTAATGCAGAGTACCAATGTCAGGTATGGCAGGTCAGCCATGACTTGTGGTGGCAGGGTCTTGAAAATCTCCAGTGGTGGAGATTCTGACTTTCCAGGCAGTTCACTTCAGAACTGCACTAGGAGTGGTAGGAGATTTCACTACAAGTGAAAGGATTTTTTTCCCCATGTCCAGGCTGTGACTTTGTGGGCTGTGCCCTTTGGCAATCCCTCCTTCCAGCTGCTGATGCCCTGCTATCTCATCAGACTCACACCCTCCTTTTCATAAGGGGATGCAGCAGATGGGCTGTGTGGCTTCAGCTCAGCTGTGGATCTGCAGAGCAGCTTGCAAACAGCACTCAGAGCTGCCACAGGCAGTGCTGGGCTTGACTCCATTCTCTGGCTGAGGATCCAAAGACAGCAAAGATACGCCCCCAAGCATCCCACCTTTTGGGTCTGGTCTTCTAAATCCTGTAAACCACAGCCACTTTGTACCAGCACAACACTGAGAGTACTGGCAGGTGGAAATAGGAGAAGAATTTGAAAAATGCATGAAGGATATTACTTGATAATTGTATGAATGAAGCACACAGGAGCCACGGAGATCCGTGGGCTAAAGTACAGTTTATGTAATCGCCAAGTATTTACTCCTTTAATCTGAGCTATCAGAAGAACCCTGACACTTGGCACAGTGACCCAGATTTACCGTGGGTGAGGGAGACACCCAGTTAGGTGCCTGGCTGGCATTGGCTGCTGGATGCTCTGCAGCCTTCACAAAGTCATTAAGTCCAATTAGGATTCCAAGATTTTCCCTCTCCCTTGCACGTGAACGGGAGCAAAGGTTGGTTTGTTGTCTTGTTTAATCATCCCAGTTAAATATCTTCAGTTAGGTGATATGCACTGGAGTCGGTTTGCTTTCCCTGTCTTACAAGTTTTCCAGCATTTTCCTATTACATGCTCCATGCTTTTAGTGGGATTTGTGGGTAATATTTAAAATGGAGAGTTACTCTGAAATAATAAATTACTTTTCTTATGCTGGTGGAGGGTGTATATTTCATTTAAGCAAAGCGATACAAGAAATTTCCAAAACGTGTTTGCTCCTTTAATAGCAGTTAAGTCTTGCTGAGTTTTACAGGATGTCTCTGGTTTGGTTACAGACTGGCAAAACATAGTTCTTTTTTGAGTTATTAGAATTCAAAGAACCTCTTTTTCACGTTTCAGTGTATATTCAGCCAGTATTTAGAAGTCTGGCAACTCAGATTTTTTTTCTTCCCCAGCTGAAACAGAGGGATAAAGATTAGTCAAAAGAAAAACCACTTGAGGTGGCTTTTTTTTTTTTTTGCCAGAGCTGCAAAAGTTTCTAAGGGTGTAGCTTTGCAACCAATTCTTTTGGCAGGGAGGTTGGTTTTAGCCGTCACTGGCCCTGGCTACTTGTTCTTCTCCTTGTGGCGGCCCTTGTGCTGCACCAGGAGAGTTGTTTGTGCAGCTGCACTGCAAACTGGACTGCAGAACCGGTCTGGGGGAAAAATAATCCAGGGAAAAAAAAATAAAAAAGATTGTTTATACCTTGAACCAGGCAACACCATGGGTATCACATACCTGTACAGAAGCACAGTGCAGATGAAGGAGGGGCACAGTTGTCATAGGCAAGGCCTGTTAGGGTCAGAAATGGATGTGAACCTGAGACACCCTCTCAAGTGAAATATCAGCTGTGAGTGTTACCAGGTCTTGTGTTAACGTGCTGCTGCCCTTGGTGCAGCCATGCCAGCCTTGCATCCCTCTCCTCCACGCAGGGCACAGCCTCTGCAAATTCACTCAGGCACAACTCCTGGGTGAAATTGGTTGGATCATTAAACACGAGGGACTGTGTTGGTGCTGCTGGTGGTAATGCATGAACAGCAAAAAGTTAAAAGGGGGGAGAGGAAGGAGAGTAAGAAGGGTTACAAAATGGTTTTTTTTCCTTTAGTGGGTAAGTTAGCACAGCTAATCAATGTATGTAGACATTGCCAGCAGGCATGAACTCCTGCAAGTGTCAGAAAGGGAGGTAAAGGGAGCATGTATAGGTTATTCTTAGCAAAACTGAGTTCAAAGTCACAGTAACTTTTTTCTTTTTGAAACAGCTCATTTTTAAAGCCTGGTAGGGCAGCAGCTGAGACAGGAGTGTGATCTAATTACTGAAAATCTAATATATTCATTCTTTCCATTAGTTCTAATGCACTTTCCGAGTCCTTTAAAAAAATTGTCTGTTGGAAGAGGATCCTGCATGCTGCATCTTCCCAGCTGAATGCTGCCTAGAACAGAACGTCCAGCTCTGTTTGTTTTACTCACCATGCTTTTATTCCTGCAGACTTACGAGGTGCAGAGCGTGCTGGGAAAGGAGGTGGGGTTATTGAGCTGCTACGTCCTCTCCATAACCAGCCACCCCAACTGCGTTGTGCTGGAGGAAATTGTTCTTCTGGAAGCTGCAGCAGCAAGACAGAGTTGAACTCTAGTCAGCTATTATGGTATCTGTGGACTTTGTAATGTGATTATCTGTTAACTAGTGCCACAGATAATGTATAATGCAAGGGTGATAAGCATTAAGATAGTTTATTAAAACTGTGATTTATAAAGCACATTGTGCTAACACTGAAAAAAATCTATATATCGTTCAACTTTCTGAATTTTTTATTTTCTGATCATTGCAGAATCTAAGAATACAGTTCTTTGTCGTGTTTGCTGTTATGTAATGTAAAACATCTTTTTCTTTAAGTTTTGAATGTTTGTGGTTTATTTTTAATAATACTGTATTTATTATGTGTCACTGGAAAAAATTGTACTGATATTTTTGAAATAAATACCTTGTTGTGGCATTTGGTTTAAGCTGAGTTTTATCAGTGCATCCCAGACCTGCTGCAGAACGCTGCGTGGTTTGTCAATTCTGAGTTAACACTTTGCAATAGTTGTTATAAAGACAGAGATTTGAACACATATGAAGTTAATGTTTTACAGCTAATTGGTCTCTCAGCAGAGAAGTTGTGTGTTATCTGTAGCTTCCCACAAAGCAAGTGTTTCACTGCAGCTTCTTTTATGGGCAAGCAGCAAACTGCGTTGTAAGCCACACAACAACCCCCACCCAGGCTGGGGAGGCTACAGATCAGATAAATGCCAGAATCTCCCTCCGTGTGCATTGCAAGAATTAATATAAGAATTAGACACTGTGTGATTTTTTTACTCACTTACTCTTTCACAGTGTTTAAAAGCCCCTTACAGCTTAGAGGAGGTTTTAGTGCAGGTCTCGTGTGTGACTAACCAGCAGAGAAGGAGCAGCAAACTTGCCACCCTGGTAATTTCTGTGGCTCAGGCCAATAGTGAAAAGTCTTATGGATGTCACAATTACTAAAGGAATGACCCAGCTTTTGAATTCCCCTTTTTTCCCCCACCCCCTCCAAACATTTCAGCCTCTTGCCTGCCTCCCTGTAAGGAAAAAGGAGATGACAGCCCATTCCTGTAGAGATCTCTATGTGAGACTGGGGTTGCCCCTTCAAAACCATTTAAGACTTGAGTCTGAGAAAACTGGAGGTGCTTGTTGTGTCAGGCTATTTTTCAGCCCCAGAGATGCTGTAGATGCTCTAACACTGCGCTACTGAAATTTAGACAAGTTGCCCGACCTTCTGTGATCTGTTCACTCTCTCAGCCATGAGCAGCAGCGTTGCCTTGCCTCTGTCACTAGCAGGGATCAGGGAAAGTCTGTGACCACTGGCTCCGTGATGAGCAGCAGTTGCCCACTCTCACTTTCACTAGCCAGGATCAGTGAAAGTGCCCAGCTCCTGCAGTGGGCTGAAGCCTGAGGGTGCATGGACATCTCTGAGACTCACTGCAGAGGTGAGCTCTGGTCCCTGCTATGGAACATGGCAGTGTAGGTGCAACTCTGCATTATCGAGAATGGAAACCTCTCGGAAGTTTTTTTAACGGGAATTTTAACTAGTGGCATTCTTTTAATGGTGTTCTTCTAGTCCTATGCACTTTTTTTTTTTTTTTTAAGATATAGAGTACGGTATTTCTGGCAGAGTCCTGCTCACAGAGCAGTCTCCCTTGATGTGCAGCTGCTCGGACCCACCAGCGCACGGCAAGCCCTGACTCAGCACTCGGGCTCAGCGGTGCGCTCCGGGGGGAGCCGGCCCCGCAGGCACCGCGCCGAGCGAGGAGGGGTCTCACGGCTGTTCCCACCCCTGCATCGCTCTCTGGATGCTTTGGGAAGTAACGCAGCGCCCCTCGCTTGCCCTCAGCTCCCCTCTCGGCCCCTGGGACCCGCTCTCCGTGTTCCCCGCCCGCGTTCAGCCCCCTCCCGGCCAGCACAGCTTTCCCCGCCGCCAGCCCCTTGTGTCACGACACAGAGCAAATGAGAGCAGGGTGGATTTAAAATGCTTTTCTTTATTCTTAGAAATGCTGTAAAAATTGATATAAAAGGTTGAGCATGCTCAGTCTTTTTTCCATTCTACTGTCTAAAATACATGGGATTTTGAATCACTTTAACAGATGTACCATAGCTGCATCGGTATGAGTAAAATGTAGAAAAGACGAAAACTACCATTACAAAAATAATTTAAGGGGAGAGAAGAAAAAAAAATAATATATTTAGCTTTTTTTCCCTTTTTCGCAAGTTTCGTGGTGAAAGACCCAGGCATCGCTCCACGTCGCTGCCGCATCCCGAGCGCGGCCGCTGGCCGGCAGGTCCCGCCGCGGCTCCGCGCCTCCTGCCGCGCCCGGCCCGGCCCGGGGCGCCACGGCCCGGCACGGCACGGCCCGGCGGGGCTCGGCCCGGCCCTCTGAGGTATTTATCCACCGTCTCCCGGAGTCCGTCTCTCCGTCCCGCTCCCCCCCGGTTACCGGCAGTCGGTGCCCGAGCCGGGCTGCAGGAAAGAAGCGCTGGGCAGCTGCTTGAAGAAGTGCCGGAGGCTGGTCAAGTCCCGGGTGAGCTGCTCGATCTTCTTGTGCAGCTTCTCGTTCTCGGCCGAAAGCTCCAGCAGCTTCTGCTGCATCTCCTGGTTGCGCCGCTTCGCCTTGTCGCGGCTCTTGCGCACGGCGATGTTGTTGCGCTCCCGGCGCTGCCGGTACTCGGGGCTAAACCTGTCCACGCACTTCTTGCCGCCGCGCTCCTTGCCCCCGCCGGCGGCAGCGGCGGCAATGGGCTGCGGAACGCCCTGCGCGGGCCCGGGCACGGCGGCGGCGGCGGCGCCGGGGCCCGGCGAGCGGGTGCTGCAGCTGGACGGGGAGCTGCTGCCCGGCGGCTCGGGGGACGTGGGCGGCGTGGGCTGCCCGCTCAGGTTCATGATGGTCTGCGCGCAGGTGGCGATCTGCGAGGGCAGCAGCGAGGAGGAGAGGTCGCTGTCGCTCCAGTCCGGCTCCTGCTTCAGAGCGCCGCGGGAGGAGAAGGAGGAGGAGGAAGAGGAGGAGGAGGAGGAGGAGGCGGTGCGGGGCTCGGAGCCCAGCAGGGTGGTCATGGCAGCTCCGAGGTCCTTGGCGGGGTCGCGGCCGGCGCCGCCGCCCGGTGGCAAGTACTCGCCGTATTCCCCGCCCCGCTCGGGCTTGTGGTTGCTGTTGAAGAGGTCGGCGAAGAGCTCGTCGTTGCAGAGCTCCAGGTTGGGCACGGCGGACATGGAGTCAATGTAGGAGCTGAAGTCGATGGCGCTCTCGTCCTCGTACATGGCCGGGGCGGCGGCGCTCAGCTCCGCCAGGTTGGTGCCGCTGCCGCCCAGGCCGCCGCCCGCCTCCTCGCCGCTCATCCCGCAGCCGCCGCGGGCGCCCGGCTTGCAGGCGGGACCCGGCCCGCCGCCGCTGCCCACCTTGGCGTCGTAGAAGTTGGCGGGCTCCAGGCACCAGCTCTTATAGCATGCCGGGGAGTCCAGGCTGTAGAGAGCGGCGGCGCTCATGGGCGAGCGGGACGCGGCGCCGCACGGCCGCGGCGCGGGGACTCCGGTGCGCGGGCACCAAACGCGGCTCCTCCGCCACGGGCGCAGCTCCAGCCTCTGGCACGGGCAGGTGGGAGCGGGGCTGCTCCTGCTGCTGCTGCCGCTGCTGGCTCTGCTCACACCGCTGCCGCTGCTGCTGCCGCTCGGTGGCACCGGCGCTGCCGCTGCTGCCCCGCCGCCGCCTCCCCGAGGGGGCCGATCCGGGCTCGGGTCACGCCGTGAGCGGCGGTAGGAGGCGGGGATGGGACAAGGCGTCTCAGGACCTGGGAGTGAAACGCCCGCTCGGTCCCTTCTTATACGGCGCGGGCCCCGCCTCCTGCCCCAATGACGGGGAGCGATGTTCCCGGCACCCCCGGGGACCCGGGGGCGGGAGCGGGTGGGGTGCGCGGCCGCGGAGGCCGGGCTGCCGCCGCAGCGAGCTGCCACCTCCCGGCCGAGGGTGGCCGCGGTCCGAGCTGCCCCCGCCGCGGGCACGGGACGGTGCGGGCGCCTTTCGGGCGCCTGCCGCCCTCCCCGCACCGTCCCGTCCCGGGAGCGCTGCCCCGACGCCGGTACCGGCGCCCCATTCCCCCGGCTGAGCGCTGGTTTTCCCTTTCCCGCGGGCCGGCGGAAAAGCTGCCTGAAAAAGCCGATTTTACCCCAGCAGCACCACGCTGCAGCCCCCACGCGCTTCCCGGCGGCGCCGGGACGGAGCGATAGCGGAGGATGCTGCCGGCCCCACGCGTGTCCGTGAGCATCACCCGAGCGCCCTCCCGAGGCTCAGCTCCCTCCGCTGGAGCGCGGGCGGCTTCCCCCGAGCAGGATGCAAATCCCCGCTCCGGGGAGACGAGGGACACTCGGGCTTCTTCTGGCGGGACCCTCTGGTGGGACAGGGGTCTCTGAGGCATCTTTAGCCGCCCCACGCCGTCTGCATGAAGTTATGCCTCTTAAAACCTTACATAAAGTTATTGTGCATGTTGTTGTCCCCTGCCCCCCCCTTGCATCCCACAAACTACTAGTATTAAATTGGCAAGTACCAGAAAACTGAAAATACTTGCAGCTAAAAGATAAGTTTTCTAGTTACATAATAGTTTCTAAAACCCTGGTTCTACCCCCAGCGCTAATAATAACTGAATTGTTAAAGAAACACGCAACAAAACGCCCTTAAATTTACTTTTTAAAATTTTTAAAAATTATTATTTATTTATTTAACTTCCAGAAGACCCTTCTATATTTAAGACAGGACTGTCCCAGGCGCCGTGTCCAGCCCAGCGCCCAGCTGACGCTGCTGGCACGGAGCTGTGCCCGGCGGCCGCGGTGCCGCTGGCCCCGAGGTGGCTTGGGGACCGCCCGTGGGGACGTGCCGGCCATGCCGGGCCCGCTGCCCCTCTCCGGGCACGGCTCCATCGCCGCCACCGCAGCTGTTGCAGGACCGCAGCTGTTTATCACAGGGGTGTGTGTTTGAACATAAGTAGCTGGGAACAAGACTGGTACATGCTCTCCCTTTGGATGTAAACTCCACGTGGGAAGGCTTGTGGGATCAGGGTAAGGGTGCAGTGCCTGGCAGGTGGGGTTTTACATCTGGCAGCTAAAGTTTCGCTTGCAGAGGCTTTGCTTTTAACTCTAGAGCTGCCAGATGTATTGTGTTTAAATGAACTTGATTTCCTTTTTCGTCAGAGGAGTGATCGCACAACCTCCATCTACACCAGCATTAACCACTGAACTTAACAGTGACACAAGAAACGGCTGCTTTTGTTTTTTCCACATTGTCAAAGAAATAATTTTACATATTATTTTACAAACCATTTTACAGCTTATTTTTTGCCTTCTATACACCCCAGACCTTCCCTGGGGTCTGTTCATGAGGCACAACTCTGCACCAGCTGTCCCTGGCCTGGCTATCCAGCAGGGAACGTGGTGCTCCAGGACCCTTTTACTCTGTATGAAATGCAGAGGAGTGCATTTGTGAGGCATGGGAAGGTAGTTAGAAATGAGATGCAGTCTGATATCTGCTGTATCTCCCCTTGCTCTGCTGGAAGGGGTGGGATCTCACCCACTGTAGTCATAAAATGATGATTTGTCCTGGAAAGCTCTCACTTAACTGTTTGTATGCAGAGCTGTCTCACTTCCAGCTCAGCACAGCCCTTACCCCAAAGGTCAGGCAGCGCTGGCATGCCACTGTGCCAGCCTGAACAAGCCTATTTAATGCCCATCATGTGTTCCTCCAAAAAAGACACCGAATTCCCAGCCAGGTCACCCGACCCCTGCTGGGCACCTTGCCTCCTGGCAATCCCATCCTCAAAATCCCTCCACAGGAGGCCCAGAACTGCTGTGTAAACCTCAGTATGAGCCATCTGTGTCACACCTAAGCCCCACCACAGAGGGTGCAGCATTGCCTGCAGGGTCTTCAGGACCTGGAGGTCTGTTCAGAGCCCGTGGTTGGACCTGTCAATGCCTGTCCCACAAACCCAAGCAGCAGCAGGAGCCACCCCCTGGAGGATGAGCTGGTTGTGTTTGTTGCTGGGCCTGGGATGTGTGATTTCAGGAGAATGTTTGAGGGGGTTCTCCCACTGCCATGCAGGATGTGCTGCAGCACCCGCAGTGGAGCATCCAGGAGCATGTGAGCAAGTGATACCTGGCACTTAGCAAAGCAGTGCACTGGAGGCAGGCATTTGTCTGGCATCTCAGCAGCTGAATCTGTTCCCATCTGCGGATGTAATTTCATGGGCAGAGAAGTACAGACAAGCCCTTGATTTCCCTCATCTGTCCTGCTGAGTGCCTGACCCACCGAGTCACGGCTTGTCTCTGGGATCCGGTCATTTTAAACAGCAGTAAGAAGCAGGCGATCTTCTGAATTTCAGAATACATTCTTTAAAGCTTGCTTAAGGTTCATGCTCCAAAGCAAGGAAAGTATTTAAACCTGGCAAGAAAGGGCAAGAAAACTTTTTCTAAGAAGCAAAAAAAGGACAAAATTTTAACTTACTCTGGACTGCTGGCTGTGAATCTGAGAAACACCTTCAGGGACAGCAGTTAAATCACACTGTTTTCTGACTGGTTTTTCCTCATAAATAGATGACAGGCCACTCAGGGAAGGTGAGGAAGGTGAGGAAACAGGGTAATGCCTCAGCATGCTCCCCTCCAGCAACCCAGCCAGGCATGCAGGACTTTTTGGGACAGTGGGACTAGGAGCGTGGCAAGGCTGTGCCTGGGAAGCCTAAGCCCCCTTTTGATTTTATGGACTTGAGAGAGCACCTGCAAGACCTCAGGTCCTGGGGGATTCATGGGTGAAGACCAAGCTGACAAGGGGGAGAAAGATGGAGGACTGGTTTGCTGGGTTTCTGCTCCCTGCAGGAAGCAGGAGTGCATGCATCCTTTCACTCATCAGCTGGAAGTCAGCAATAGCACATGGGGGCTGACAAGGGAATGGGACACGTAAATGAGGAGGTGCAAGTTGTCTGGGGAGAGTCAAAAACCTGCCTGCACACCCCTAGGGAGGAGCAGTGCCTGCCTGAGGTTGGTGCTGGCTCTTGTCAGCCAGCACGGTGACTGCTGGAGAGCCACCTCTGCCAGGGCTTGTGCCTCTGCCTTGTCCTCAAACACTGTCACAGTGCTGTGCTTGTCACTTGTGCTGTACTTGTACATCATTGCACTGATCCTGATCCTGCCTGTGGCCTCCCTGCTCTTAGCAGCTGAAGAACTTGATGGTTAACTGAAAGGATTTTTCCCTTTTAGCTCCTTCAGTTGAAGCTCTGTGTTTTGTCTTGTTGCAGGCATTTAAACCCCAGCGGTGTCAGACCAGGTTGGGTTTGTCCAGCTGCATCTGTGGCTGCTGAGCTGCTGAATAAGATCATCCACATACCCAGGCTCCCAAAAGACCAAGTGCCACTGCAGTAAGATGCCTCAGAACCTGTGCTCCTTGTTTTTTCACACCCCTTGGTGGATACTCAGAGTTTTTTCCTGATACAGGTTTTGCATGGATTTCCATTCACGTGATCAAATTGACAGCTACATCTTCTGTGTAATCAAATGAAATCTTGTGTGCTGTAATTTACTGTGAGTGTAATGGACAAGTAGAGTCAATGTTGCCCTCTCCTATCCCATCAAAAAGATGAAGAAAAACCCCACCCTGTAAATGATGTGGAAACTGTAACCAAAACTTTTCCAGTCCCTGACGGCCACTCCTTCATGTTATCAGAATGGTTGGGGTTGGAAGGGATCACATAGCTCCAATCTTCCTGCCATGGGCTGGGACAACTTCCACTAGATCAGGTTGCTCAGAGCCCCATCCAACCTGGCCTTGAGCACTTCCAGGGATGGAGCATCCATGCCTTTTCTGTTCCTGTGTCTCATCACTTTCACAGGGAAGAAATTCCTCCCAATATCTAATATAAACATAACTACTTTCAGTTTAAAACCATTGCTCCTTGCCCTGTTACTACAGACCTTGATAGAAATTCCCTCTCAGTCTTTCCTGCAAGCTCCCTTTAGGCACTGAAAGGCCACAATAGGGTCTCCCCAGAACCTTCTTTTCCCCAGGCTTACAAACCTCTCAGCCTGCCTTCACTGGAGAGGTGCTTCAGCTCCCTGATCATCTCTGTGGCCCAAAAAACTTCCCAACTTTTTTTGCAACAAGAGAATACCCCTCTAAACACCTTATTCTGGGCGCATCTTCATTTGACAGAAGGTGTGGCTCTTTGGTAGTTTTGCTACAAGACCAGTGACACCACTTGGTGCTGTGGGTGTTTGCCAGGGTGTGAGCTCTCTGCCTTGGTGCCATTTCTTACAGGCAGCAGAACTTAAAAATGAAATTTTTAAAGCCCATGTAATTTCCAAATGAGGCACAGTATTAATAAGTGACTCAGCAGACCCTCAAGCCTTGGGGGAAAGATATTTTAAAGCAGAGGTAATAAATCCTTATCCTTGATTTTGAAAAACAAGAGTTTTGGGGAGAAGTGTCTCTATATATAGATGCTTACTTTTGG